TCCCGCCCGCCAGGGGGCAGCGCGCCTACACGGGACCTACGGCATGCGCGGTGCGTACGGTATATACGGTATATGCGGTATTACGGTAATTACGGTATTACGGTATTATGGTATATACGGTACATGCAGAATATACGGTATTACGGTATATATGGAATATGCGGTACATACGGTATATACGGTATATACGGTACATACGGTATATACGGTACATACGGTATATACGGTACACGCAGTATATACGGTATTACGGTATATACGGAATGTGCAGTACATACGGTACATACGGTACATATGGTATATACGGTACATACGGTATGTGCAGTACAGATGATATATACGGTACATACGGCACGTATGCTGTATACGTGGGACATACGGTACATATGGTACATACTGTACATATGGTACATACGGTACATATGGTACATGTGTGTGCAGCAGAAACACGGCAGGTACGGTCTGTACAGCTGGGGGTGGCACATGGGGACATGCACAGGGCCGTGCAGCACACACATATGTACACATACATACACATGCACGCATGCACAGGGCCATACAGCTCACATGCATACATGTATGTGCATGCGCAGGGTCATACAGCTCGTACATACACATACACGCATGACAGGGCCTGCAGCACACCCGTATTATACATACGCATACATACACATACATGTGTGCACAGGGACATATGGCTTACATATGTACACATACACATATGTATATGTACATACACATACATACATGTACACATATGTACACATTCACAGAATCACAGAATCTTCTAGGTTGGAAAAGACCTTGAAGATCATCCAGTCCAACCAGTAGTCATTTGTACACATACATGCACATACATACACATACAGCTCACATATGTACATATACATACACATACATGTACACATGTGTACACATACACACACATACAGCTCACATACGTACATGTACATACACATGCACACACATCATACATACGTACACATACACATACATACACATACAACTCACATACGTACATTTGCACATACACATACACACGTATACATGCACATATGTACACATACACCTCATACGTACACATATGTACACATACACCTCACATATGTACACATACATACACATACACCTCACATACGTACACATACGTACACATCCATGCACACGTATACACATACAGCTCACACGTACACATACATGTCCATACACATACGTGCACACACACACACACGTGTGCCGGGGCCTGCAGCACTCACGGGTACCCACAGCACACATATGTACACATGCCATGCGGGGGGGCTGCCCTGGGCAGGGGGTGGGGGACAGGGACACGGGGGCAGGAAGCTCAGCTGCCCCCCCCCTCCCCAGTTCCCAGTTTTCCCAGTAACCCCCCCGGGCTCAGCACCAAACCCTCTGTGCCCCTTTTCGGGGGGGGGGGGC